CATGCAGCTTCGACTATTTATATTACAAATTTATGCTTTCATCAATTATTTTTTATATATTGAATGACCCTTAGGTAAAGCAGCGAACATCAACTTAGCATTTTGATGATAACAACATAAGCAAACTGAGTGACTCTTACTACTGTCAACTGTGTTGCACCACTTCAAAATTTGTGTTTAGGGTATAACTTCTAATAATTCCAAATTTGTGTTTAGGGTATAACTTCTTAAACTCAAGGTAAAGTTCCTTTAAACAAACTAATATTAAACATTTTTGTTTATGATTATTTATACACACAGAAACAAAGTCTTTTTTTCTTGGACATTGTCTTGTGAATTCATAAATTTCAATGACTTTTTGTTTAACAATATCTTCTAAAGGCTATCCTATTTTAGCCTCAGGTTTAGAAAATATTCCTTTTTCATCTTTCAACTTTCAGGTTTCTTAACAAAATGTTCTGAAATTGAAAATGTTTTTCAAGTTTTTTGCAATTTTTTTGTTTTTTTTTTGTTTAGTTTTAATTCACCTCCTCAAGGTGATGAAGGCCACTCCAGTCAAGGAGGCTACTTTAGTTGTGGTTACAACCCTCTCTCAACTCTTTAATTCCAAAACACAAACATTGACAAACAAGGGCACTGCATGGTGAAACAAGTTGAGCGCAGTTCTACCAGGGACAAGGTGGGGATTGAACTCCGAAATATTCCCTTATGAGGCAAGCGCTCTATTACTACACCACTTTTGCATTCAATTATCATGATAGTGTTAGTAACTAGTAGTGTTAGTAACCAACTATCACGAATTAGTGCTAGTAACTAGTAGTGTTAGTAACCAACTATCACGACCAACTATCAGGATAGTGTTAGTAGTTGAACTTTTTTTCTTTAAACTTATTTTCACTTTTTTTTTATTGCATCTAACAGATTGTCTAAATCATTACAGTTAATACATTTTTTTTCTTTCATTTTTGTTTCATTTTTGTTCAGTTTCATTTTTGCAATTTTTTTAAGTTTGAATTCATTCATACAGTTAGCACAAATGTTTTGAACAGGTTTGATTTTATATTGATTTGCGACTCATATGTTGACTTATTACAATCCCTTGATAAATTTTTTCTTGTGGGCTTTAAATGGATCACAACAGTATTTTTGAAGTCTTCATATCTAGAAATAGAGGCTTTTTCATGGTGAAAACATATCTCCTCGTTTGATTTAAAAATGTATCCTATCCTTTGAATTAAAAATTCAATATCAGTATCTTTCTTCCTACCATTTTACAATATGATATTTTATCACAATCATTTAAAACTCTTCCAACACAACACTTTCCTGACATTTTTTACTAATCTAAAAAGATTAAAAACGTGTTAAACATGTCATTAAAAACGTGTTAAACATATCTTTAAAAAAACTTTTATTTTTTTGTAGTAACAAAATCAATAAAATCAAATCTCAAGTACAAATTTGTTTAAAACTGTTTAAAATGCAATTAACTATTTTTCCATATAACTATTTCTGCATACACAAAACCTTTTAGGGTTCTTGTAATATTAAAAACAAAAATAATAAAATCCAGGAAATACTGTTCAGATTTTAATACAAACTCTTGAAGCAATTGGAGTATTTTACACTCAAATTATAACCATGTGTAAATTGTATCGTTTTAATTATATTATATGCTTAAAATTAAACAAATACATATTCTAAAATCATATCAAATAAATTAATTTAAGACACTGATAATTTTATTATAGGTAAAACGGATTATATTTATTCAGGGAAAAATTAAAAATATACACCTAAGTTATAGGGCTGCAATCATGTCATAAGATAGAGTATAGGTCTTTATTTTATGGTGATTGTCTATATGTTTAACCTTTGCCAGTAACAAGCTTCATAATTTTTTTTAACTTTTTACGCTACTTTCTTTGCCTACAAAGTGAATGTAATGTATAATTTTTTTTTCAAAGTTATATTTTAACAGGCTGCTGCAGGTGTTAAATCAACTTTTAATGCATAATTTTGATATTTATGGTAGGTGGTTACCCTAAGTACACAAAATAAACAAAAATTTGGCACACCTTGTCTGTTGGTATTGTACTGTAGCACATTGAAATTTCTAAAAAAAGGTTATAATATTGCATTATTTGGCAACTTTGAGGTACAAGAAATTCAAAAATTGTTTAAAATCATTCAAAAATACCTGCAAAAATAGATTATTTGGGTGAAAAACTAGTACTGTAAAAAATTTCAGGTTTTAAAATTTCAGTTCTATTTTATTTAAAAAGTTATGATCTGTTAAAAATCAAAATTGTTATTACACCTGATGATGTTGTGTGTACAATGTTCAATTACGCCTGATGGTGCTGACTGGTATAGGTCAGGAAAATATTGTAAATAGTAATATCAAAATCTATTTAAAACAAAAAGTTTATATGAAGCCTACTTAATCACATTCAACAAGTTATAATATTAAGTTATAATAATCTTTTAATATTTCTAGAATGGTATATTGTCATCTGGGTGTTTATTCCGATTGTTTGTGTTCTCTTTTTTATTCTTGCTGTGTTGTTGGCAAGAAGGCGAAGGTAATTTATTTATCATTATTTTTCTTTTAGTTTTTATTAAGCTAACAAGTAGTATTTTTTTAGTAAATAATTTGTTTATAATACAATTATATTTTTCTGTCTTGAAAAAAATTTATTTTTGATTTTTAAAACAGCCAATATTGAATGTAATCTCTCTTTTGTGAAAAGTTAGAGCTTGCAGTGATGAGTTAGAGCTTGCAGTGATAGGTTAGAGCTTGCAGTGATAGGTAGGTGCTTGCAGTGATAGATTAGAACTTGGAGTGATATGATAGAGCTTGCAGTGATAGGTTAGAGCTTGCAGGGATAGGTAAGTGCTTGCAGTGATAGATTAGAACTTGGAGTGATAGGATAGAGCTTGCAGTGGTAGGTTAGAACTTTCAGTGATAGGTTAGAACTTGCAGTGATAGGTTAAAACTTGCAGTGATATGTTAGAACTTGCAGTGATAGATTAGAGCTTACAGTGATAGTTTAGAGCTTGCAGGTTCTGGTGAATTTCATTTCAAACAAAACTCATTTATTTACTGCTAATAGTTGCAGCGCTGTTAATATTCTTATATTAATAAATTACATTTTACTGAATCTTCTACCTTACATCTTTTTGGATTATCCTTTACTTCCAGCCTCTTATGTGAACCAAATATTCAATAGGCTGGGGTAAAATGTATAAGCTTAACTCTTACTTCTGATCCATATACTGATTTAGCAGTGTTCCTAGCAAATCTAATGCAGTGGTCAACAATTTGCATCTGGTTTGGGTTAGCATTAATTATAAGAGATATGTCAACAACTGATTAAATCTGTTTAGTTTTTAAATGTGACGAAAGTGGTAGTTCTTTGACTCTAACAATTTTCCAGTTAACTAGATTGTTAGTATTTAAGCCATTATCCCAGTAATTTTAAGGTTTGCCTTTTATAGTTAGTTTCTTATTTTAAAATGATATCTGAAGCTTTGAGATGCTTATTTTGTTTGAGATTGCTCTGTATTGATAAATAAACATTTTCAAGAAAAGCAAAGTACGCATTCTATTCAGTGTAAAGTTTGACAAAATTAACCAATGAAGGTAAATGTTGTAATAACTTCAAGAAACACATGTTTCAATTCATTAGAGCTGATGATTTCTAAGTTAATAGAAGACCAACTTGGTACTGTAGTGAAAAATGATGATTTGAGGTATTAAATTTAGGTTTTTAACCAGATTAATTGTGAATAATTGTTGCTACTTTTAATTGTGATTTTCTTATTTGTCCTTGTATGGAATTCTTTTGTTATATTTAAGCTGTACTTTTAAATACTTTTAATGGTGCCCTCTCTTTCTTTTAGACGAGGTTCAAAATTTAAATGTTTGACCTGCTCTAGCTGCCAACCTTGACCATTTGTCCCCTTATCATAAATTACTTAAGTCATTTTTCCATTAACCAAAAGTCTAGTTTTTTTTCTCTCAAAACTTTGATGCCTTTGAAGTTTTCTCCCATCTTTATGAACTTTGAACTTCTTTGTGAGATAATCTCACCAAGAAGTTTAAAGCAAAAACCAAGCAAATTGGTTGCAGTTGATGGTCTTAGTTTCAACAGTTGATGGTCTAAGTTTTAACAGTTGATGGTCTTAGTTTCAACAGTTGATGGTCTTAGTTTCAAAAGTTGATGGTCTTAGTTTCAACAGTTGATGGTCTTAGCTTTAACAGTTGATGGTCTTAGTTTTAACAGTTGATGGTCTTAGTTTTAACAGTTGATGGTCTTAGTTTCAAAAGTTGATCGTCTTAGTTTCAAGCAAACAAATAAAACCAAAATTTTTGCTTAGAGTATTTAAATCAGATGGTTACAAAAAATCTTTTAAATGTCAGAGATAAATTTATGGCAGAAAAATGTCAGAGATCAGTTTATCGTAGAAAAATGTCAGAGATCAATTTATGGCAGAAAAATGTCAGAGATCAATTTATGGCAGAATATGATAAAACTATCACCATCAGTTAAGCAAAACATTGGAAAAATTCAAGAAAAGAAAAAATCGCTTTTCTTTTTTGACAAATCAAATTCAATAAAAAGCATTTGTTAGATGAATTTGAGTTTACATGGTTTAGATGATTTATAATCACTTGGAATGATCCATGTCATTGGAAGCTTGGAAACTGAAAAAGCTATTAAACTTATTAAGTCAAGACTGTCTGAATTCAAGTTGGATTTGAACAACAACATTGTAGATACAATCACTGGTGCAAGTGTTGCGATGAAATGCGAAAAAAAGGAAAGTCATGTGGTATTCTTACTCATGCAATCCATTTTTGTGTTTGCAGTATACTTTTTAAACTCAATAAGATAAATGATTTAATTTATGATCAAACTGAAGAGGAAGAGGATTATGAAGAAACAGTAGAAGAATGTGATAAATTAAACATGGAGACAACCTGGTTTCTGATATTGGTACAATCGTTGTTAAGATTCATAAAATTGTTCATTTTTTTAGAATTAAACAATTTTATGAATCTTAACAGTTCCTCTGTCAAAAATTACAGGAGATAAACCTCAACCTCAAAATATCTAGCCTTTAATAATGCAAAAACTTTATTTTTTGATTGTAATATACAGTAGTATAGACTTATTAAATTGCTGCAAAGATTTTATAAATTTCGCAAAGAAGTTAAAGTAACAATGATCCATCTTGAACAGGAATTTGATGTATTCAATAAAGAGTTGGAGAAGCTTAAAGAACTATGCGATGCTCTTGCTCCCATGGAGATGAATGTGGAAGATACAAGGAAGATGCTGATCTTTTACTTACTGAAAAAGTTACTGAATTTGCTATTAAGAAGCTAAGAGATCAAAGGACATCAATATGTTTAATCTCCTGGAAAAATTTCAAGTTCAAATTCAAGAGAGAAAAACACTTATAGAACATTTAAAATCCCCAGACGTTTGGAAGAGCAAAAGGATCAGTTGGGCTAAAATAATAAAACATAAAATTATATCTCTGACGAATTAACTTTTGAACAGACTTTATTCACAGAAAGTAGGTGAAGAGTTGATTTTGAAGTTAAATGTACAGCTGATCAAACATTAAAAATTGATGAAAAAATATCATATGAATTTGTTACATTTATTCAACAAACAGAGCATAAAGCTTTCACTGTAGATGATATTGGATCTAAGATTAAAAAAAAAAAAGTTTATTTGAAGTTAACTATGCAAAGCCTAAAAATCTTAAAAAATATTTTAAAGTTTTATTAACAACTAAATCAACATCAGTGGAGCCATAATGATTTTTTTCTGCCATGGAGTTGTTTGCCATTAAATAAGAAATAGGTTTGGAGATGATACCCTTGATGCTTTGATTTTAATTATACTTTCAGATCTCGCTTGTCTCAGAAATCTCTGTTACTTTTCTATCTCGGTCTCGGAATAACAAGAAAATTAATGTATATTAAAACTGAGATAAGTGATATATATCAAAAACCTTGAAAATTATCTCGTTTTTTCTTTGTATGAGAAAAGTGTTGCAATGTTTTTGATTAAAAGAGAGTCCTCGGCATAAATTGTCTCACAGAGATTAATTTTGGTTTATTTCTCTCATAGAAATACATAAAAAATAAAAAGTGCCAATTTTGAAGGTTGTTAATATTTTTCAGTAATTTTGGTTTTAATATTTTTTAAAAGCTTACAAGTTGCAATTGCAATATATATGAAAATTTAATTATTTTTAATATATTTAATTATTTATAAAAAATAAATAAAAGATAACAATTAACATAGTGTAATAAACTAAAAAGAAAGTATAGTTAATTTAATTTATGACATTGGGCATAGCAATTGCAACTTACATGTTTTTTTAAATTTTAACAGAATAAAATTGAAAAAATTAAGGGAACTTATTAAAATGGCTAGTTTTAAAAAATGACAAATTTCAAGTTGAATGCAACTTGTGTTCTGACTGAGCGAAGCGCAGATTCATCAACAAATTCAAATAATAAAATTATTGAAAAATAGAGATAGGTTCTAGCTTAAACTTTTTTTTACTCTGTCCAGTAATGATGACTTTCATATTATAGAAATTCCATCTGAAGCTCAGCAGACAGTCAAACAGGCTCCCAATACTCCGAAGTTACGTCTTCTCGCTTTCCTCAAATGTCAAACAACTTCAAACTTTGTACCAAAGCCACCAACAACAAAAAAAAAGAAAAATGTGAGATAACAAATCCAAGACACTGATCCTAAATTATCCATTACCTGGGTAAATATTTTTGGCAGGGTAATGGAAATGCTTGTGATATTATATTTTGAAAATAAGAGTATTAAACTATAAAATAATAATAAAAAATGAAATACAAGATATAATTCACGTGTAGCTTATAATGGTCTCTATTCAATCTAACTATGCATATTATTTGTTTAAAAGTTAAGAAAATTCTAAAACCTTTTGTTTTGTAGTTTGTAAACTATAGTATATAATTACTAAAAAAAAAAACATTTAACTAAATTAATTTTAAAACTTAATTTAAATTATACTAATTTCAAGAGATTTTTTACTCAAAGATTCATTTATTTAAAAAAAATAAAAGCAATTTAGTAAATAGAACAAAAGCTGAAAATTTGTTGAACTTTTTCCTTTTTATGTTATTAAATTTTTCTTACAGATTAAATACATTTTTTTTCCTTTTGATTTTTCGATGATATAGGAATAATAAAGCAGTGGTAGTCGTACCAGTAAACCGCAGTGTTCCAGATCCTCCTGTTCGCAGTATGGCTACCCAGCGTGATATATATTTACCAGAGGCCAATCAGCTACCAGCAGTTAATTTTGGTTATACGCCAGATGTTGATGTTCAAGAAGTAAAGTATATTGAATATAGGGGGAAAGGGGATTATGTGGGAAAAGTGGAACTGTTTATAAATAAAGTATTTGCTTATAATCAATTTATATAAAGTTATATTTTTCCATTTCATAAATATATATATATATATATATATATATATATATATATATATATATATATATATATATATATATATATATATATATATATACATATATATATATATATATATATATATATATATATATTTATTTATTTGAAAATATATGTATTTATTAGGGATGCGCCGAATCCGTTTTTTACACCAAATCCAAACGTTCGGCCATGATATTTTGCCGAACACTGAATGGTTTGGCAACTAAATTATTGCTAATTTTAAATTAAAAAGTTAGTGATTAAACTCTAAGTAAAAATAAGGCCCTGTAAAAGGAGGTGCTGTCAGTGCGCCACACCTGGGCCAGTAAGAGTTAAGTAAATGCAGTTTTATAAATGCGATGTAATGGTAAGGTACTAATAGAAAGAAAGACAATACACCACAATTATAAAACTTGTCATTGGTTAGTCTTCGCTTATGTTATGCTAACTTTTTAAAGCAATGTTAAATCATAATTATTTAAAAAAGAATGTAAAATGAATAAAATAAATATAAGTTTTTACTTGTTTTCTTTAGTTAATATATTTTTTGAACATTTTTCAATGATTTTAAATGTTATTAACAATGATTTATATGATTTATTAAATACACAAAATTAAATTATTTTATTTTCGATCTTTTAAATTGTTTTTTTTTTTCAACAATTTCTTACTTAATTGAATTCCATGTTTTTAATCCTCTGGTGATTAATGCAATTTAAAAAAAAAAGATTTTTTTTAAATTTATTGTAGAAAAATAATATTTTATATTCTTTTGGATTTATCAACTTGATATTTTTAGGATTTTGCGTACAAGAAATATCCAAATGTATAAATTGGGAGCAAAAAAAAGAAAAGAAAAAAGGAACGCATATATAATGAAAAAAAAGAAAAGAAAAAAAAAACGCATATATAATGAAAAAAAAAAAAAGAAAAAAGAAAAGAAAAAAGAAACGCATATATAATGAAAAAAAAGAAAAGAAAAAAGAAACGCATATATAATGAAAAAAAAGAAAAGAAAAAAGAAAAGAAAAAAGAAACGCATATATAATGAAAAAAAAGAAAAGAAAAAAGAAACGCATATATAATGAAAAAAAAGAAAGAAAAAAGAAACGCATATATAATGAAAAAAAAGAAAAGAAAAATAAAAAGAAAAAAGAAACGCATATATAATGAAAAAAAAGAAAAGAAAAAAGAAACGCATATATAATGAAAAAAAAGAAAAGAAAAAAGAAACGCATATATAATGAAAAAAAAGAAAAGAAAAAAGAAACGCATATATAATGAAAAAAAAGAAAAGAAAAAAGAAACGCATATATAATGAAAAAAAAGGAATACAGGATCTGCATTACAGACACTTTTTTAATTAGGTATAAAATAACATCAAATTTAATTTGTAAATACAATGGAGCTCAAGTTATAATAAAAGAACTGTGTCCTACTGCTATGTTTTCACCTTGTGGCTTCCACACACTTAACTTATGTGGTAATGATGTTGCTGAATGTATTCCAGAAGTCATAACTTACTTCGGAACTATGCAAACGATATACACCTTATTCATGTGTAGTCCAAACATTATCTAAACATATTAGCTATTCCCTTCACAGCATATCTAGCACCAGGTGGTTAGATAGAATAGAGTCTCTAACCATTTGAGCTTACCTTCCAGGAGTAAAGCTGGCTTTGGAAAATGTTCTCCTTCTAAATCTTAATCCAAAAACTAGAAACAAGATTTGTGGAGCAATTTGTTATATTAGTACCTTTACCTGCATCATAATTTCAGTTGTTGGCAAAGAATATTAATTTCTACTAACATTTGCAACAAAGTCATTCAACCCAGTAATGCGACTTTAGAGATAGAAGTTTCAAATATAGAAAGCTTACTTTCACAATTAGTAGCTATTTGTGATATTTAAAAAGCAATGTTAAATAAAGCTAAACTAAATTAAATATAAGCTAAGCTAAATTAAATCCATTAATAAAAAGTAAATAAATAAATTTTATATTAAAATTTAACTTATTTTACTGTAGCTACCATATATAGTGTACAGATGAGTTAAATTTGCAGTCTTATCTAAGTAAACATGATATTTTAAAATTTTGCATTTTTTGCATGTTTAGTCGAATTTTTTCCAACATTCTGCAAAAAAGCTGAACGTTTGGTTTTGCCGAATGTTTGGCGCATCCCTAATATTTATATATATTTTGAAATAAAAGATTATTTTAACTTAAGCACAGAAGTTTACATAGATCTCAGCACTGTTTTATTTTATCATATTATATATATATATATATATATATATATATATATATATATATATATATATATATATATTTTTTTTTTTTTTTTTGCAACATCCTTGCTTCCAACAAGGCTGCAAGCAACCACTAATTATTGTTTGAAGTTACTGGAAGAGAAAAGATGAAGATTATAGAGCAAGATATTGGTTGACAGCCGACTTAAAAGATTGTAAATTATATGAATCAGGAAAGCAAGATGAAGGAAGCGAATTCCAGAGAACTGATATTCGAGGGAAAAAACTAGACGAGTAGGAGTTTTTGGAGCACTTAGGAACAGTAACAGAAAAAGGATGAGACTTAATTGAATGACGAGTAACACGAGATTAAATTTTAGTAGATGACACAAGAGACGCTAGCTCTTTAGAGCAGCGCCCATTATAGTATTTGTAGAAAAGAGAAAGAAAAGCAACATGACGACAATGTGACAGGTTGAAGGTTGGCTGCAAGAGCAGGTCCAACTATGTTTACAATGCGTTTCTGCACCTTGTCTAAAAGAGAAAGGGCATCATTAGAAGATCCACCCCAGATATGGCAACAGTATTCCATACAAGGCCAGATTTGAGATTTATAGAGATAGAGAATAGAATCCAGAGTAAGAAAGTGTCGAGCTCGATAAGGAGAAGCAAATTTAGCAGAATTTAGACCTTCCTACATTTATGAACGGTAATGTACTCATCGAGTACATTACCGTTCATAAATATAGGAAGGTCTAAATTATTACAATAACGATTAGCTGAAAAAAATTGAGTTTTATCTGAATTAAAGTTCACCAGCCACTGTGAGCCCCATGCTGTAGCAGAAGTGAGATCCTTTTCAAGCTCAGATTCCCCCTGCAAGCAATCAGAGGGAGTTGGCTTCTTATCGTGACAAGAATAAATGGTAGTATCATCAGCGAACAATGCCACCTTAGATGTGAGAAAATCTAGAAGAGCATTAATGTAAATTAAGAAGAGTATAGGGCCAAGGATTGAACCTTGAGGAACCCCTGAGGTTACAGAATAACAAGAAGAGTTCTCTATCAAGGACAACTTTTAGACTACGATTGGAAAGGAAGGATTCCTTTCCTATCGTAGTATAAAACTACGATTTGAAAGTAGTTTTATACTACTACGTAGTATAAAACTACTATGGTTTATTTGGAAGATGTTTCCAGATAAACCGTAAGAAGAAAGCTTATGGAGAAGACCAGCATGCCAAACTTTATCAAACGCTTTAGAAATGTCAAAAGCGATGGCCTTAACCTCTCCACCTTTATCTAATGCGCGATAAAAACTATCGGTTATTACTGTTAGCAAATCAGCCGTAGAACGAGAAGATCGAAATCCATATTGATAATCAGAAAGTAGGTTATGAGGTTTGAGATGAGAGATTAAGTGTTTGTTAATTAAAGATTCAAAAACCTTGCGTATGATAGGAAGAAGACTAATGGGATGGTATTTAGACGAATCGGATCGCTTTCCAGAATTTTTAAAAATAGAGATAACAGTTGCTGCTTTCCAGCAGGCTGGAAAACAAGACTCTGATAAGCACTTGTTGAATAGTTTTGAAAGGATAGACGACAGCTCCGGAGAACACTTCTGCAAGACTATAACAGGTATGTTGTCCGGGCCGCAAGCTGTAGAAGAGTCTAAGCAGGAAATCACTTTAAATACAGAAGCTGGAGTGATACGGATGTCGAGCAGTGGATTAACCTGTTTGACGGCTATATCAGGTAGAATGCAACTAGTGGAATCCAAAGATGATATTGATGAAAAGTTCTTGGCAAACAATTCAGCTTTGTCTTTAGGTGAGGTGACAAAGTCTGAACCGTACAAAAGAGATGGAATTACAGACTTGCCCTTATTGTTGATAATATTAAAGATTCTCCAGAAATCACGAGAGCCTAGCGAGATCTTTGTGATGAAATACGAGATTTCATGGTCTGAGAATAGCGGGCTTTGGCGTTAGACAAAACCTTTTTACAATGGTTATATATATATATATATATATATATATATATATATATATATATATATATATATATATATATATATATATATATTTGTATATATATATATATATATATATATATATATATATATATATATATATATATATATATATATATATATATATATATATATATATATATATATATATATATATATATATATATATATATATATATATATATATATATATATATATATATATATATATAGGGTCAGGCATAATACACCCAAGTCAAATAAAATTATGCTAATTTTTAGGGTTCCTTTTGATTTATTTTTGAAAAATCTATACAATTTTTTATGGATACTCTTATAACCATAAGAGTATCCATAAAAAAATGTATAGGTTTCATGTAAAGGTCCCAGCAAAGGACAGGGCCACTTACAAATATTTCAAAAACTCAACGAGAGTTGTTTTTGTAGCTTTATCTGATTTTAAGTTATGCTTTGTTTTTTGTTTTTTGTAAAAATGATGGGAATGGTTGGTTCTACCCATTTAAAATCATTAACTATATATTTTAGGGGTTGGGGTTAATTATAATTTTTTTGTATTTACTTGAAACATAAAACATTTCTAATTGTACATTTTTTGTTTAGACAAAGGCTATATTAAAGGTTTTATCCAAGATTTTTTTTTTCAAAGCAAGTTCCGTACTTAAATTTACAACAAGAAGACTAGTGACAGTTTTTTTAAATCATATATAACCTGGAAATAAGTCCCAGAAATAAGTGATGAACTGGTTTTCAGGCATTCTAACTCATGTCTAATAAAAAATTTTTTTTTTTTTTTACATTATCAATAAAAATTTCTGAATTTAGTTTTTTTGTTATTTCATGAATTAGCTTTCTTTATTGTAACGATATTACTGAGTTATGGTTGAAGAAAATCATATTAAAAAATAAACTCCCTTTGACATACATCTGGCATGGTTTGAACCCATAAGAAATTTTGAATTATTCCTGATTTTTTTTTTTTCTGCCTTAAAATACTCCGCTTAGAAATAGAATAATTATCAGTGCTTCCTAAACTGTTATTTATAAGAGAAGCGAGTGTTTCACTCAGTACTGTCGAACTTATTCTAAATCATGATTAAGTTGTAGCTAAATTCTCTTCAATATTTTTCTAGTATTAAAAAAAATCAAGATCAGATATACTGTTTATTTTCTTTCTTATTGCAATCTAAATATTTTACTTCTTCTCTGCGATTTTTCAGTAACTATTCTGTTTTGTTTCCTAATGAACTCTTTTAACCATTGATTTTTTTCTTATTTTTCCTTTGTTTTGCTAAATTTCGCTTTTGTTTTGCATGATATTTTTTACGCTGTTGATCGCGCAACGGTACCGTCGTTTTAATTTTTTTCTTACAGTCACTGTAATGATTTCTGATTGGTTGATTTTTTTTTTTTTTATTTAAAGAATGCATGCCCAAACTAAAACCCTTAATATATGTACACTCACTGTGTCTATCCCTAAATTAGTGGATGTATGCACACTCACTGCGCCTATCCCTAAATTAGTGGATGTATGTACACTCACTGCGCCTATCTACCTATGTGGCGGGATAGCTCAGTTGCTTAGAGCGTTGAAGGAAAAGTTAAAACCCGGACTGTTGAACGATACGAGTTCAAATCCCGCCACCGCCAACTCAGCGCTTAAGTAGTACTTCGGTACGCAAAAATGTTGGTCAATAACGGACGCTACTTTGGATTAGTCTTAATGACTATTTGTGGCTGTTCCTATGCTAAGCCAACAATATCTTCGGATATAAGAACATTGTATAGAAAAATATAGCATGAAAACTCAAATAAAATAAAATAAATTTATATCCCTAAATCAGTGGATGTATGTACACTCACTGCGCCTATTCCTAAATCAGTGGATGTATGTACACTCGCTGCGCCTATCTCTAAATCAGACGATGTATGTACACTCACTGCGCCTATCCCTATATCAGTCGAAGTTTGTAAATAATAAACATAATTGTAACTTTCAATATACAACAATAAAAAAATTGTTAAAAAAACATTTAGAAACATTTTTCAGAATGTAGGACTCGATCCCCAAACCCCGTGAGTAATATACCATTATGCTAAACGCACATGTTATCGTTGCATTTCATTTTAAATTTGTAAATTAACCAATCCGTGACTTTAAATAAACCAATCAAACTTTACCGATAAAAGATAAAAATTACCGTTGCGCTAGACTCGACGTATTTTTTAAACACGCAATACTTTCTGAATATTGAAAAAATCTACATCTTGTCTAATTTTTAAATCTTTGTTTCATCTTTCCAGATAATATCTTTACAATTTTTGACTTTCGTCAAATTTTTTAATTTCATTATCCAGCACTCTTAATTTTTTTTTTTTTTTATCCTAGAAAATAATCTCTATACTCTATAATGGACTCTTTTAACCATTAAATTTTTTTCTTATTTCTATTGTGGTCCTATAAAGAATTCTTATTTCTAATGTGGTTCTAAAAGGAAAAAAAATATTTCTTTTTAGAACTGCATTTTCGCCGAAATGGTTTTTGTGTTTGTTTAAAATTTCTCAACTATCATGTTGCAGTAAAAAAAATCACTAAATAGACATTATGTTATATTAGTTATGAAGGAATGTTTGGAAAATCAATAAGAGCATAAGATATCTGCTATGATGATATTGCAATACAGTTTTCTTAATAGGTTATGTTATGGGTATTGTTTCAATCCCTTTTTTTTTTCACGATGACATTTTTTGCAACAATTGATTGTTGACATTTTTATTTACACCAAAACATACGAAATTCCATTCCCATCTTTACCAGAAAAACAAAACTTATCTAAAATCAGATAGATCAAGTTTCAAAAAAAACTCTTATGGTATTTTTGAAATATTTGTAAGTTTGTACCCTGCCCCATCCATTAGTGCAAAATTTTGAATTTTTTTATATTTTTTTGAAATGGTGCAACCAACCATAAAAAAATATTATACTACCTATAAAAAAAATTGTATATTTTTTGAAAATGCATATCAAAAGGAACCACAAAAAATAAAATAGTATTTTTTTTGACTTATGTATCAAAACTGGCATCTAATCTAAAAATTTAAATTTAAATAACTCTAAATTACTTATTAAATTAAAACTGGCAACTAATCTAAAAATTCTCAAATTTAAGTAGCTCTATAATGTCCTTATTATGATTTGTAATATATAATTACTTCCCATGCGGGATAAAAAAGGGAGCAAAAAAAAACCTACCTAAGCAGGAATAAATGGTCGCGATATTTATTTTTGATCTTGTGCAAGCCAAGTGGACTAACCATTTTAGAGTTGATTATTGAGGAGACAGTTTTTTATAAATAACTATGTTATTTACTCTTCACAACTTTACTCTAAGGTATAGATTTTTAAACTGGTATAGTTAAATATTGACATTATAAAAGCTCTGATTTAACTCTATACGGTGTGACGTTAAACACTGAACAAGATTCAATCATAAAAAAACTAGATCAAGTTTTGTGGATTAATCCGGTTGGCTTGCACACTATTTATTTAATTATTACTTATAAATAGTTATAAGTTAAATTTGCTATAAATAGTAATTTTAATTTGTTATAGATTGAAGTTGAGTTTAATGAAGATTCCAGTGTGTATCTTGAAAGTGTAGAATACAATCCTGATGCTGGAAACGCTTTTTATAATCATTATGATCAGGCCGGTCCTGCGCCCAAAAATAAAAACGAAGTACAAGGTGAACTGAATGCAGGATATGCTGTTATAGACGATAAAGTGAAATTATTTGATCACAAGAAAAAATTTAATTTAATTTAAAGTGCTTTCTTTTAATTTCGCTTTCAATCTTGTATTTAATTTAATTTTGCATTCAATCTTGCATTCAATTTTGCTATGAAGTTTTGTTTAACTAATAAGTTAAAGTTAAATTTTAATAATTGGATTTTTGATTTGATTTTTATAGTTATTTTTTTAGTTTTAATAGAAGGATAATTTTTTTTAAAAAAACCACAGACTTTGTATTACTTTCGTAGATTGTTGCAGGAAAAATGCTTCGTTGATTGTTTTCTTAAATATTGGCTTAAAACAAACCATAATTAAAACGTTGAATGTAATACATCAAGGTTCCTATGTATTGATAAAAATGAATTATATGCGAATTGAACAAATTTCATATTTATTAATTTTATAACAATTAATTGCTTGTTGAAGTTGAAATTATTATCAGCTTAGTTATTTTCAACGTCAAAATTTACAGTTCTTTTCTCTCTCTCTCTCTCTCTCTCTCTCTCTCTCTCTCTCTCTCTCTCTCTCTCTTTGTATATGCATATATATATATATATATATATATATATATATATATATATATATATATATATATATATATATATATATATATATAGTGCTTGAAGTGAGATAGATGCGGCGGGATGCCATCTCGTCACCTTTTTATAAAGTATAAACCACCCCGCCACCTATTTATAAATCTCTATATATAACAATAATTAGGCGGGATGTTATTTTTAATTTACTGGATACCATCCCGTTACTTTTTTTTTTCCAATTCGAGCACTGTATATAATAAAGTATTCTTAATACTATAGATCCTTTTTTCTATAAATATAATAGATATAACATGAAGTTGTTTTTATTTTTCCGAAGAGCGTTACTTATTCGTGTGTTATTGAGAAAAATAAAAAGTAACACTGATTTCTACTCCATACTCAGTTCTATTCCAAATTTTTGTTCAAATAAAAATCTTTTACTTGACTAAAAACTAGTTTTACTAATCTGCTTTGATAAGAAAGTACACAGTATCTACAAAATATCCATTTTGTAAAATTACTGTTTTCTTACGAAGTTTGGCTGTATTTCGTGCAAATACTGTGAAATTAAAACATCTAAAACAGATACTTAAAGATCACATGCGTTGTTCTTACTTACACACCAGGTCAAGCAAATAATTATTAAAAAAAAAAATTGTCTTGAAAAATGAGTTACTGAGTTCTTTCTTATAAGGGCAGTGCTATCTTTTCAACTTTTATAGTTAATTTTAATAGAAGGATGGTTTTTTTAAAGAACTATAGACTTTGTATTACTTTCGTAGATTGTTGCAGGCAAAATGCTACGTTGATAGATACACAAAAAAAAATTTATCTTGAGTAACTGAGTTCTTTCTTAGCAGTGTTATCTTTTCAATTCAAAATCATTGAATTACACGAGTTTAAAAATCAATATTATGTTAAGTAACTAACATGTTAAATCAATTCAAAGTTTTTTTTGTTTTTAATATTTTATCGGAAAAAAAAGGGGGGGGGAGAGGCAATTCTGTAATAAATAATGGTTGGGTCGTTGAAAACACACAAGTACGTTCAAGAGAAAAGGTGGTCCCAATTAAGTGGTTTTACTGTGTACATACTTTAGGGATGCCCCCTAATCTCAAATCATCAAAAGAACTAATACAAAAAGTTGATAGAACTTCGTTATTTTTTTTTGTATTTGTATGTGTACTTTACCAAATGTTTTTTTGTGTGTTATTAACACACAAAAAAACATATTAACACTGTTAATACAACATTTATTAAACTCAACCTTTTTTCTTTTTCTTTTCAAAATGTTCGTGCTTCTTAACTCCCTTTTTATATAGTCTCCCAATAATATTGTTTTATTGCTCAAAGGGTAAGTATTTTTAATTTAAGAAACTTTAATTTATTAAACATTTTATCTATTTATACCAAATTATTATTAGTTTTGTGATAATTTGGTATAAAATAATAAATCAAAACATTAAATTATTTCACAGATTGATCAATATTATGTTATTTTTAATTATTAATTTATTGCTAAATAAGGATAATTTAATTTATTGCTAAATAAGGATATAAAAACTTAACTTTACTAAAATCATGTTAAATCAGTTTTTTTAAAACTTAAAAAAACGTATTTAAAATGGTTTACCTAATATAAAAAAGTAGTACAGCTTTATGATTGTAATGAACGTAGCACAGCTATATAACGCGATGATTTTTACATCTAACATCAAAGCAATTAGAAGTAAAGCTTTTAGGAAGGAAAGTTACAAAACTGTATTTAAATTATGCGCAAATCTTTAATCCTTGCTCTAACTTCGCAATAAAAAAAAACTAAAGTAAAATTCCAGTGCAAGTATAAACATATGTTTCAAGTTTCAAACACCAAAAAAAGCTTCAATTTTGATATATTTAATTACTTTTCCTATTTTCAAATTTAAATGAAAAAATTTATTCTCTTTATGAATAATGTGACCAGGTATTTTTATTCTCTTTATGAATGATGTGACCAGGTATTTTTATTCTCTTTATGAATGGATGTGACCAGGTAATTTTAGTGTAAGTATGTATTACTTTAGAGTAAAACTTTCTTTTTTCATAAAGTTGTGTTATATCTGTTTATTATTCTAAATACATTATGGTGCAATGAAAAGTTGGTGCAATAAAAAGAAAAAAATTAAATTTCATTTAACTTGATATAATATAAATGAATCTTTTCTTACTTTTATTGATTTTTTTTTTACAATGAAGATTTTACATTTTTTTTTTTACAACGAAAGTAACTGTTAAAATAAAAATCTGTGGCACCTTCTTCTTGAAATCTACAATCAAATAACGCAACTGATTCATAATTATCACAACAGGTTCAACAAAATTATTGAATCATTTAAAGGAAGAGAAAAAAAATTAAGCAAATTTGCTTAATTTTTAAAATGTTTTAAAACATTTTTGCCTTTTTTTAAGATAATAACGTGGATACATAATTAATTGTTGCTGTTTGATGTGATGGTACTCATACTAACACTGGTAAAGTTAGCGGTGCCATCACATTGAAAGAAATCAAGTTTTGATGTTTATTTTGGTGGTTTGCATGTCAGTTACTTAAAAATGAATTGCTACTGAGGTATGTATTGAATCATTTAGATAATGTTGTTGCAGGTTCACGGATATTTTGAAGTTCAAGACCAATTATGAACAACAACCAGTTATTTTGTTTAAGAAAAAAACTGGTTGTTGCACTTATCAACAGAACATGCTTGACGTTTGAAGTGACAATAACAGAGCTCAGTGTGCCCAGAGCATGTAATAAATTATACTGATTTTTAACAATGACTTAATTTAAATTTTTTAATAAGAAAATTATACTGTTTTTTAACAATACTGTTTTTTAACAATGACTTTAAAGTGCTATGCAATAAAATTAATTCCCTGAATTTAAAAAAAATTTACTATCCTGATCCGGAAAAGATATTTAATTTGTAAATTAATATTTAATATTTAGAAATAGAAAAATTAAAGTTAAAAAATATACTTTGTGTAGGTTTGTTTTGGTGTACAAATATTTTAGATTATATAAAAATATATTTCCATGATTAAAATTAGAATGACGGTGAAAAAAGGCCGCAGAAGACCGCAAATAAACTCAATTGTTTGATGAAATATAGACTTTCTAGTTTCGTGTGTAAAAATTCCACAGTCGTTTATCACTGAAAACTGAGTAATTTAAAATCGAACCTAATTTTTTTGTACTGTTGATATTTGAGGTTAAGTAATTATGAAAATCAACCTTTAGGAACGATTCAAGAACACCTATTGAAAACTTGTGTAAAAAAGTATTTGATATGAATAGGAGAACTAGAAGGAAATTTGATAACTTTGAGCAACAAATTAAGTTAATTGAAAAAACTAAAGCTAATTCTAAAAACAATCAAATTGAGGTTTAATCTAACTTTAGAAGATAAACTAGAAAATACCAAGATAATACCAAGAAAATACCAAAATAATACCAAGAAAATACCAAAATAATACCAAGAAAATAAAAACGTGTTTAAAACGTCTAAAACACAGTTTACTACATTTCTTATACATTTTAAATTCGTCTTTTACTCATAGGTAGCGACTAGTAAGCTACTCGTTGGCTAGCCACTAGCTCATTTTCCACCAAGTTGAATAAAACTACCTTGCAATCTACCTGCAGCATCATCATCGGGTGATATAGAAGAAGAGAGGAGCTTCACAGGCTGAAAGAGGAACAAAATCAAAAAAGACTAATGTAAAAAATAAGTTGTTAACAGTTATTTAAATTTTTTGTTATTTAAAATGTCATGTTATTTGGGACACTCTGAAGCATTTTTTTTTTTACTTTTTACAATACATTATCATTTATTTAGACAAAAACCTTAAAAACTTACCTAAAATAAAACTATTGATGATTTTGTGGACATCGTGGAAAAACATGAGAATGAACAGGAAGTAGATAAGTCAGACTTTTTATTCAGCGAAATGTAATTTTATAATTTTATTTTTATATAAACAGCGAAATATATAAAAAAAAAAAAAAAAAAAAAAGTAATCTAGGTTAATCCAACTCTTACATTCATAAATTTTGCCAGAACTGTTACTCTAGTGGAAGTAAAAGAAACTAAAGAGAGTGTAAAGGAGTATTTTAAACCAACACTGAGCTAACTTTTTTAAAACAAAACTCAGCCTATTCTTTAAGAAAATGGTTAAAAATATTTGTAAAGACAGAGATAAGTATGATTGATGGGAAAATGGTAGATTTGTTAGTTGGTGATTCTGGAGTTTTTTGCAACTTCTGCAATTCATCCAGAAGTGATACCAATGACCTAGTATGTATACTATATCGGTTCACCATAGATAAAAATTTATAAATCAGGAGCAAGTTATAAGACAAGACAGATTTCATTGCAAATAAATACACATGGCATTTACTTCAGGCTGATGATATGAACACATGCAATGTTTTCCATTAAAAAAAGGCTTTTGCTATGTAGAATATGTGGAAAACTTAGACTTAGCACTAGAGGGTGTAAACTAGATGTGAAAAATGTCCTTAGTGAGGAAAAAATGATAATTAAAGAATGCTTTCTGTTTGAATGAATGTTATCATATAAAATCAAAAAGACTTAAATTATTACATCTGCGTATATTTGCGTTTAATATTAAATTATTTTGAACACAAGCATATTTGATTTGGAATATGATATGATATCTTTTTTTAAAAACTATATTAATTGGAAATTA